GGCCATGCCACCCTGAACAAGCCTGATCCCGTCTGATCCGGAAGCTAAGCAGGGTCGGGCCTGGTTAGTACTTAAATAGGAGACCACCTAGCAAGACCAGGTGCTGTAGGTGTAAAAAATAAAAAATAAGGGATTGTAAGCTGACAAGGTCTTTGCAATCTATGAAGTCAACCAAGGGTTGCCTTGCCTAAAAAAAATAAAAATAAAAATAAATAAATAAAAAATAAAAAATGTTTTTGTTTCCTATAAAGTATTTACAAATTAAGAGGCTTGTTTTTCAAAATAAATTAGATTTTAAGTACTGATCTTTATAACCATATTGATAAAGTGATCCAAATCATTACAAATCACAATTCTTTAAAAGTTTTGCTCTAAAATGGACTCTTCGTCGGTTTTATAAATACTGAATTATGAAGTTCTTTAGAAACATGATGTGTAGAAATACTTTTTTGGATGAGTCATCCATCCTTCATTGAAACTATGATTTCTTCAAGTTACAAAAGGAAAACTAACAATGCTATGGAGTCAAAGTTTTGGATAATAAACATATACAATTTATCAATCTAATACTGACTTAGAGTCATTCATTCGTTCATTCATTTTATTCAACGACTAGTTCTTGAGTGGTTACTATGTGCCAGGCATTACTGAGATGAATAAACAATATGTTTAAAAGTTCAACAACCTTAAATTCCTTCTTGGAAGAAGATAAGAGGATATAAAAAAAAAAACACAAAAATAAAACAAAACAAAAACCTAATTACTCAAGACTATAAATGCTTCCTAGAAATTTTGAACAATAATTTTGTACAGATATATTTAGAGGTCAGATAAGACTATAAAGGTTTTATATCAAAGGAATTTCCTTTCTGCCTGTAACAACTTTCCTACAGATTCTGAAGAGATGTTATTTTAAAATGAACAGAGACGTTTTGGGTTGCCTACCCAGAAACTACTTCCCCAATTGAACCCAAATTTTGTTCTGTTAACACTCCTTCCCCTACGTAGCACATGTAACTTCAAGGGAAGCCAATTCCTATCCGGCCTCCATTCCTAGTTCCCCTTAGGATAAGAAATCCAATTTTGTTCAGGTATCATCCCTTTTCTGCAAAGCCTGTATTTCTAAGGGAACTTTTTAATCTATTTTCAATTTCAGAGATGGGCCTGATTTTTCTAAGGGCAATAATACCTTCAGAGGACATAAGTGGTTTTTGGAATGGATACATGACCCAGTTCTGGCCAGTAGGATGACAGGTGAGGTTTGCTCTGGACTTGAAGAAGCTTACTTCAAAAAAAAGAGGGGGGGAAAAAAAAAACACAGAAAGCCAGACTTTCTCTTAAAGCAAATACAAGTGAGGAAGCTGAAATGAATAAATCCAATTAAAACCGGCAACCAGCCTAAAATTGTAAGAAAATCAGACAATTCTGTGGATGGCAGACTACAAAGGAAAAAAGTGGGTTGTTAAAGATACAGGTTGGATCAACCAACCCACAAGTCCCATCCTATTTTGTGATGAGCTTTTAAGTGAGTTTTTAAATCTAAAGTTGAAACTATCATAACTAATGTGCATTTACACTACATAAAGCTTCAAGTACACTAACCACATCTTGGGGGAACTACACTAAGACCAAAAAGGAGCTCGTGGCAGGCTGAGATACAAAATACCACATACCAAGAGAAAGGTGCTAGGACTTCATTCCTTCCTTCCAAAAAGGCAGTTGCTGAAAATACATTCCTTGATGCCAGTACCACATGTAAATACTAAATCATGGGTTCATGGCCCACACCTGACAGAGTGGCCCCAAAACATGTAATATATGTATAAAATCATCATTATATGCAATTTAAGAGTTCAATTTATTACATTTAATTTTGAATGGCCAAATTAAATGACAATACTATTCTGTTGTCCATTACAAGAAGTTTTATAGTCTAGTTAATTTTCTAGATAGAAAAGTCTAGATAATTTTCTTAGGTCATATCACAAAAGGTAGGTATGCAAAAAAAAGGATGAAGAACAAGTATGAAAAGAAAAGATGGTGCTTTAATGAAAGTCTCTCAATTATTTTTACATAGTTTTTTTTTTTTTTTTAAATAAAAGGGATAAGTAAGTTTGGGTACTTGTTTTAAAGTGAGATTTAAAGTAAGTTCTTATTCAATACCATAATTCATATAAAGAGAGAAAAATAAAAGATGTAAGGTAATGCTTGCCAGGTTCGGGCATAACAGTGGTCTTTCTATTCTCGAATAAAAAAAAAAAAAAAATAAGGGAAATGTCAAAAAGACTACCAAGAGTAACCACACACACTACCTGTTGGTACAAAAAGATTCCAATTTCATATTATTATTTCTTATGCAAAGTACATTTCTAAACTATAATTAAATGCAGAAATTACATAATAACTATAGAAATCATAGAAACACAAAATTATGTTACAATTAAACTATTAACTGATTAAAAATCAGAATAATTAATTGTAAATGCCTATTTGGCTCTGAAGGAAGATTTTGCTTTACTTACCCTGACTACTTTCATTCTGGTTTTCTGCTTTCCTCTTTCTTCCTCTGGATGATTCTGATTGTTTCTTCTCTGGTGTCTACAGAAAGCAAAGTTAACAGAATTTTAAATTATAGTTTTAACATACCAAATTATTATAGTCAGTATAAAAATCATTTTTCTTTTCACAGGAAAATATAGTTTTAACAATGCTTATGCAATATAAATGTGTAGTTACTTATAATTTATTTTAAAAAATAAAATTTCCTACTCTGTAAATTTTAAAAATTTGAAGCATTAGAAGATCTTGTACACATTACTTGAAATTCATATTTACCGAATATGACGAGGTAAATGAAAAATCAGAGAGTAACTAGCCTTTAAAAGGCGTCCTTTAAATTCTTAACTGGACAGGGCAAAATAACAAAAAAAAAAATCTGTTTTTCCTATTAATTTTCTAATATTCACACTTATTTAGTCTATAAAAAACTTAAATAAGAAAAAAAAACAACCCAAACCCTGATATATACAATCTCTACTAAAAGAACCATTCACCTAAATGCCTGACAATTATTATCCAATAACAATTATAGTAAATTCATAAATTATGCCCTAGATCAAGGGTTAGCAAACTATAGCTTATTGGCCAAATCTGGATGGACGCCTGTTTTTGTAAAGTCCATAATCTAAGAATGACTTTTACATTCTTAAATGACTGAAAAATTTAAAAATCAAAAGAATATTTTGTGACATGAAAATTGTAAGAAATTCAAATTTCAGTGTCCATAAAGTTTGATTGGAAAACAGCCACACTCATTCATTTATGTTTTGTCTATGGCTGCTTTCATATACAACAGCAGACCTTAGTTGTTCTAACAGAGACCATACGGCCCACAAAGCCTAAAATATCTGGCCCTTTACAGAAAGAAGTTAGCAGACCCTGTCCTACATGATGGCTTGTTTTCAAATTATAGGTTTGTTCTATTAACTGACAGCAAATATTTTTATCAGGCTACAATAATAAGCAATTTTTGTGGAGTCTGACAGACTGTTGCACTTAGATAAAATTAAAACCAAGAGCAAAAGCACAAGGCCCTCAAATTCTAGAAGTATGACAAGTATATCTGGTTGCAGAACAAACAATATTTGAATGAATGAAACACCAAGACAACTTAAAACTTAAATACATCTCTAAAGGTAATGCAGTCCCCAAAAAAGGAAGAGACTTAGTCCATCTTTTGATGTCTCTGAATAGTTCTATGATTAAATAGTATGAATAACAATACATACCTAATTCACATTGAGCACCTATGGTTCCTCTAAGTATTATTTTGGGGATTCTAAGTTCTCTTATCTCCATTTTGCCAATGAAGTAACAGATTCAGAGAGGCTAAAATCAGTGTTACCAGTCTCTGAATTCTTTAAAGACAGGAGTTAATACCTTCTCCCCACCTCACCCTCCCACTCCCATGCCTATCACATGGTTATTACTTGATAAATGAGTAAATACTAAATAACTTACTCAGGGTAATTAGGATTCAATTTTGCATTCCAAGGTCTAAATGCTTTTTTTCTCTATGTGACATACTATATGCCCTACATCAAGAAGTGAATAAATCAACTATACAAAAATATTTCAAAATGTTATTAAGTTCAAAAATTCATTATTTCCAATAATTTGCCTATATGTTTTCACATCACAAACTAGAGATCTTAAAGAAATCCCCCTTAACAGGCAATCTACTCAGGAGGCAGAGTGATGTAAAAGCAATTTAGGGTAAATAGTTCATTAGTTTAGTTTCGCTGTCAAAATTACCAAACTCATACTTAAACAGTAACTAATTTTCCATTTTCCTTAGAATAAAAATATCACTAAATAAAATTTTAAGTGAACATTTTTATAAAGAACCCTAAAATAAATCTTGAAATAAAAGAGGATTCCAAATAATAATTTAGTTGTAGCCTTCCTAACTTAATCTATATAAAAAAATAATTTAAGGTCAATAAGATACGTTTTTCAGAAGTTTTATGTTATACTAATTTGTAAGCATGGTAGGATCCCATTTGAACTCCATCTTAAATCTTGATGAGCTACTTTTGAATAAAAAAAAAAACACTAATATAATTCTGAAAGTTATATTTATAGGAAACATTTTCTATTTAGAAAACTAAAAATAACAATGTTATTTTATTTTCTAAAGCTATTATTTTTTAAAGCATATTGCAGTGATAGATTGGATCAGTGATAGATTGAGAAGCTACATTTTAAATGGAACCACTGGGGTGGTTCAACTGGGGTGAACAAACTTAGGTTTATTTATCTCAGAGCTTCTAAGAATCATCAAGATGTTAACATTCATTGGATATCTCCCAAAGCGGGGTTGGAAAGATATATGTAGAAATTCTCAAACTTATTTGGGATAACAGTCATTAAATATTTGACTAAATACATACTTCAAGATATTTAAGCTTTTTTTTTTTTTTTTAAGACATATAGAATGCTTGCTTTCAGCAGCACACATACTAAAACTGGAACAATACTAAGAAGATTAACCATGGCCCCTGAACAAGGATGACAGAGAAATTCATGAGGCATTCCATATTTTTTAAGTCACAGGGATGCAATGTACAGCATAGGGAATATAATCAATAATATAATAACTACATATGGTGACTGATGATTATTAGACTTATAGTAGAGATCACTTTGTAAGGTATATAAATATCTAATCACTATGTTGTACACATTAAACTAATATAATATTGCATATCAACTGTAATTTGAAAATAAATAATAAAGACAAATAGATTACTTGGTAAAAATCGTTTTTTTATAGGCAAAATTTCCCTAAATTTAAAATTTTCTGGAATGGGGAAGTGGGGTTGTCCTTTGGGGGAAGTGTCATTTTGCTTAAAAACAAAAATGAAAACAACAAAAAAAATACCCCGCAAATGCATAATGATTAGAGTAAAGAAAGAACAGCAACAGGTTCATCTCTTTTAAACCAGAGAATTATTTTAGGAAAAAGGGGAAAAAAAGACTAAAATTAATTTTAAGACTGTAATATATGACTAATGTGGGGTAAGAAGTTGGAAATAATAAAAAACTGAACAACTGGACAAAGATGAGAATGGGAAACATAGCTATACCTAAATGAGACTATAAATGTCTCCATTAAAAACACACCATTTTGTCCCTTCTCATGAATCTTACACTTCTTCACCTATGTCTCAATATGACTACCTGGTGTTGACCTTTAACCCCACTCTCACCACAGAGATTATTTTAGGATTGTTCTGTCAGTCCAAGTGGACCATAATTTCTTAAAAATGAAGTACCACAGGTCTCTGAAGAAACACACACTAAGAATCAAACTCTGGGTTCCTTATTTATTATAAGTCTCAGCATGCTATTTAACCCAAGACACAATTTTCTCATAATTTTAAATGTGACAATACAGGCATAGGAGGAATGTAGGTATCAAATGAAAAATGTACCACACACATAGCTAGTACAGCATGTAGAACAGAGTGTGTAACTCTGTAAATTTCAATGAGCTTCCAATAAATTCTCTGAATGAATATCCTTCTATTACTCTAAATATCCATGTACTTTCATATTTTGAAACTTCAATCATATGTCACCTGTTAAATGATTATGAGCTCCTACCCTAATAATTTACAAACGCCTGATCTAAACCAATGATTTCCTACAATATCTAACTGACATCAACCAGGCCACTTTTTGTATTTGCATAAGGTATAAAATTTGCACACACTTAGCATTTCATATAGAACACCTTCGAGCTTATTATTGCTGGCACTAATGATATAATTTTTCTTTTCTTCTCTATTTTTTTCTCAACTACTGCACTATAATTGGCCAAATAAGGAAGAATTAATTGGAAGGCAAGATAATATGATCTGGCTTGAAAGTAAAGATGGAAAGACTATAATAATTATAAAAAAATCAAAGAATTCCGACATACAAGTGGAACAGCAGTTAGGAGAAAATGATGAGAGTCTGGTACTCTTTAAATTAATTTAGCTTTGTAAATGCTAACTTGTAATTGTATCAAAACCTAAATGATTACTCTTGCATTTAAATGTTCCAAGATAGCAGAGTGAATTTACACAGTATTTTCTAGAAGCTGAAAGTATGTTCAAAAAACAAAGACAAGTCTAAAGGACTCAAGGAGCAACAGTGATATAATTAAACTAATTTTCTAATTTCATTTGGAATTTAAGTCAGTGATTATTAAACAAGGTTTTCATATTTAATCATGTGGTTTCTTGGTTTATCTTAAAAATGTCTTTCTTCAATGAAAATAAGACCAAATATAAGAAAACAAAATAAAAATCTTACAGAATGAGATAAATCAATATAGACTGTTCCACGAAGACAAATAATTACCTCTATCTACAAACATCGAACTAGAGAGATATTTAAAATTATCGTCAAAATGCATTACAAAAAATTCTAAAAGTATGTGTAAAGGTATATTGAGAGGAGGAATGCATATTAAAATTTATTTTTCACTTCTACCTCAGGTAGAATTAGTCAGCCTTGACTTTACGTTCAGACAACAAAAAGTCAGCTATCATCTCAAATAAAACTACTATAGTTAATAGACACAGATACAGTTCATTTCTGTTAAATGAGAAAATACTTCAAAATAGAAAGAAACGTTACTTTAATATTAAATAACATCCCTAACAAAATAGTCAATCCTCAAACTCGTCAGAATGATTTTTTTCTGATCAATTCAGTTAGCTGAAGACTGGTTTCAAAAATACAAATCACTGGCTACTCCGATGATTCAATAGGTACACCCGGGTATCAAATTCAAGATCACTACACTTTGAACAAATGGCACAGCAAATCTTTTTGCCTGCATCTGGTAATCACAATACTCAATTTCTATCTCCATTTCTAAGCAAAATTTATTGAACTAGATGAGACAGGAAAATGCTGTAGAAATCTTTGTTACTTTAATGGCACATATAAAAACAGCACTGAATGTGAAGGAAAATCTGGAGCCTTATAAGAACAGTCATCGTAAAATAGAAGTTCTATTCAAGAATATCAAATGTACAAGATATTGCTTCTTCCAACTTTTCGCTATAAAAATCAGGTTAGAATAAATGCACCATAAGAACACTGAAATTCTGTTGTGAAAATTTCCTTGCTGTTTTGTATCCAATTTACATTTAGATAAAATCTACCATGAAATATGTATGTCCTAATTCAGGGATGATATTGAGCTGGCAAAACCTGAAACTGACAGTCTGTCTCTACTCAAGAGCTCAAACTTTAATATCAAGAACTATTATTTAGAAATGTTTGCTTAAATCTTTAACACCTAAGAGACAATAACTGTTATTTTGCTGATTTCGATATTTTATATAAAAAGTTCATGTATGCAACATTTTGGGATCCTATCACTAAATAAGAGCATTTCTTAGCTATTCAAAGTAAATCCAATCAATGTATCACTAATTCTGTGTAGCCTACTTTCTGCTGTATTGCTTTTATTATTTAATAATATGTAACATCAAAGATGGTAGAAAGCCAATAAGACAAAACTGGGTAATCACCCAGCTAAAATGTGTGCTGTCTTACAGGTAGCAAAGTGTGCCAGCTCATATTCTTAAAAGTCTGAAAGATTTTTACTCCCTTCACAAATATAAAGCATCTACAACTGTATCAATACGTAAAGGCAATATAATACTAAAATAATCTTACTCTCAATTTTTAAAAACTGCCTTACTTGCCATCCTCACATTCAGACTTCATAAGCTCCTATCACCTGGACCCATTTTAATTTGTATTCACATATATTTAAAAGAATATATGAACTATGTCTTCAATACTGGTGAAATGTAATACTGTTTGCCATTTTCTTATTATTTATGTAGCATAACCATTTCTCAGATCTTCCCTTCTCTGGCTTTCCCTTTAAGGCTTTGTTAAACAGAATAAACCATAAAATTAAAGTTTATTCCTCTATTCATATAATCTTGTAAGTTGTTTTCAAATCACACAATCAGAATAAAAACCATGTAGAGCAACTGCTGTGGCGGGGGGAAACATTTCCAAGATAACATTCTGGAAATGTTGGCATTTTGAGAGTACTAATAATAGTAAAATTTAGAACAGTGATTTCATAACTTTTCTTCCATTGTGACACTCATAATAGAGTAGCATGCGCCCATATAATATCCCCATAGACATTTCCTTGAACATGAATCCCTCCAGGTCCTTATACAATTATTTCTTTGGGATAGACACTTTTAAGTGTAAATGCTGTGTCACAGAATATACATGTTTAAAGGCAATATCAATCTATATTTACACTGACATTGTATAATACCCACCAATCTAAGCTCTGATGTGTTAAAAAAAAAAAAAAGTTATTTCACTGTTATTTTTTCTATAACAATACTACATTTACAACCACAAAAAAGTGATTTATTTCTTAAAAGAAACTGTTCTATCATTTATCTAACAGTACTGATTCTCAATGCTGACTATATATCAAAATCATTTATAAAACTTTTATTTAAAGTTCATGGAGTCCTTATTCCAAATTCAACCATCTCTGGAAAGACACCAGAGGAATTCTTATTTTTAAAAAGCTCTGAAAGTGATGCTGATGTGTCTATCCTCAGGATTACCAAGTCAATCTACATATATAATAATAACTCATATATTTCCTGCACATTCCACTTTAGAGAATCTCTAAAATTAAGAAGTTATTCTTTATATTAACCTTCCATTAAAAATTAAAGACCAAAATGTGACATACAGCAGAAAACTCATTAGCATATAAAAAGTTCAATGGGTTGTCATGGTTACTCAGTTATTTTAGAAAATGAGATTTAATCTTAAAGAAAATTAATAAAATAATTGCTATGTTCTGCCAACATAAAAATACATCTAAAAATTTTAAAACTCTACTATAGTATAAGATACTGAAACCAAATTTCTCAGTAATGTCAACTTGTGCTGAATGCCCTTAAAATTCTGTCTAAAAGCAGTATTTATCAGATAAAACATTTGTGAAGGGCTATTAGTCCAGAAATATCTTGGATTGGCATATTTGATGGTTACTATAAATCATCTTAAAATATTTCCAAAAAAGAATACCATTTTTTTTCTTCAAAAGACTAGGGTTATTTACCTAACTAATAAGTTATACTTAGTTATACAGAGAATGTAACACAATAGTTGAGAGTATCAATTTGAAATAAGAGACACGTTGGAATTAGAATTTTCATTCTGTTAGTTTATTAATCTGTAAGGCAAATTAATTAATCTTTTTGGGCTTCTGTTTTCACACTTAGAAATGTGAAACTTATACAGTTGTGTTCTAGCTCCACAGGTAGCCTGTTAAAATTGTTTTCTCCCCTTCATTAATGAAGTGGTTCTCAGGCAAAGATCTGCCCCAGTCCCCACAGGATAGCTGGCAATATATGGACACATTTTTTGGTTGCTACAACTGTGGGCTACAGAGAGCTAATGCGTTAGGCAGAGATGCTGCTAAAAATCGTACATGGTTTACATTCCCTACATCCCCAAGAATTATCTGGTCCCAAATGTCAAT